ATAACTAATAATATTTAATTAGAAAAATGAATGACGAAGTAGAAATTTCTTTTAATATTATGCAAGCTTCATCAAATATTTTGATTAATACGAACAATAGAGAAGATAAAGTTACTAAAACCATAACAGGTATCTATGAAAATGCTGTATTTATTAAAGTTTATCCAAATAAAAAATGTGAATTTATTAGAAATGTTAAACAAAATGAAGATATTAGTAAATATACTATTCTATGTTATGGGTTTAAAGTTTCAAAATCATTATCTGAAAAATTACAACAAAGTGTTGAAAAATATTGGGATAGAGGAGACAATTTTTTATATTAATTTTTTTTATTTAATTTTTTTTTTTATTTTTAATAAATTTTATAATTTTTTTTTTTTTTAAAAAAAAAAAATTAAATTAATAAAATAAATAAAACAATTTATTGTTTAGATATGTAATTCAAATTAAAGTTTATTATATTTTATTGCTTCTAAAAATGCTTCCCAAAGTCTATCTTTATGTTTACAATGCCATAAAAATTCTTATAAATATGGTTTGATTACGTTTTTATTTTTGTTCTTTGATACAATGATTTTCTTTAATTTACTTTACGTGCCTTCAATATGATTTGTGTGAATACATTTCTTTAACTTACTATAACTGATTTTCAAGTAGATAACTCTCTTATGCTTCATCTCTAATTTATTCAGATTTTGATAACCTTTCTAGCTATTAGAATAAATAGTTGTACCAGGTTCAACATGTTTTTTAATAATCTTGGTTAATGTTTTGGTATATCTCTTTTTTATAACCTCAAAGAAATACTTTCTTTCAACAGTTTGCTTAATAGCACCAACCACCCATCAATCCTTATTCTTTTTAAATTTACTCTTATCAATCTTCACAATTGTTTCTTCACCACCTATGGTCTTATCATCATATGATAATGTATTTATAACCAATCTATGAAACATTCTAATAAAATTAATAATAGTATCAGATGCATGATCTGTTATTGATCTAATTGTTATGAATTTTGCTTTTATTAGCTATAAGTATCCAATTAATAAAATTTTATATATTTTCATGTGATGTTTGGTAAAAAATATATTTTTTGAAACAGATTCATTAAAGCAATTTCATGTTTTACAACTCCATAGTTTATCTTTTTTATAAAATGAAAACTCTACATTATTACATTTTGGGCATTTTTCAGAATGATTATTTAATATTCTCTTTTTAATCAAAAATTTGACGCATTTTTTTTTATTAAACAGAATTTTTCATATAAAGTTAATATTTGGTATTGACATCTTATTTTCTATAAATATGTATAAAGTAAACAATTTTTTATTTATACAAAAACAGAAATAATCATCCTTATATAAGTTTATCATGTCATTGGTTTATCAAAAATTACAAGTTTATGATATTTATATAATAAAAGAATTTAAATTTAATACTAAAAGCACAAAAACAATAGTAATGTGGATCTCATTGTCTAAAGAACATGAATATGAATATTCAAAATTCTTGGCTAAATGTTTAATCAATAATACAAATAAACCATTACTTAATTATAAAGAAGTAAAAAAATTGGTTAAACAAGCTTTAAACTAATTATATGAAAAAAAAATTAAACCAAATCTAGATGATATTAAAACTTTAAAAATAAATCTGGCTTATCGACCTCAAGCCAATTTAACAAATCATAACGATAAAAAATTTAAAATTAGAATTAATGAATATTAGTTTATAATTCTGGTTATATTCATTGCTTCTGTTACAAAATGGGTTGTAATACAGGATAATATAGTTTAGAATATTTCATTTATTGTATTATTTTATAGAGTATTAATGTTATATTAGTATAGTTATTATATATATATATTATATATTATATTAGTATAGTTAATTATATTTAATTAGAGAAAAGATTCTATTGAATGATAGAATAGGGCACAGTAATACTGCGGCTAAGTAAAATAGTATGCGATACAAAAGAGCCTACACAGTGTCTCTAAAGTACCTCTGCACAATGCCTCTAAAGTACCTCTGCGCAGTGCCTCCAAAGTATCTCTACACAGTGTCTCCAAAGTACATCCACATAGTGCTTCTAAAGTATCTCTGCACAGTGCTTCTAAAGTACCTTTGCACAGTGCCTCTATAGCATCTCTACACAGTGTCTTCAGAGTGCCTCCACTCTGTTAGACAATTATATCATTACACTTCTATTTGTAGAAAAGTTATAAAAAGAGAGCCTTGTCTCCTTTCATCCAGTGAAGAGTTTCCTACCCTCTCATAGAATCTAGTCTTATCTTCTTACCTTTCTCTACTTGTAAAGTATGACATTCCCCCTCTAGGGTAATTCTTACAGGCAAGGTTATCACCATACTTGTTATTAATAAATATTATTATCTATATACTGTTATTATCTTGAACTGTTTGCCTTCTGCTATGAAGTTAAAATATATACTTCACATCCACCTCATGTATATTTATAAAGTATATCACTATACCAAGTGATCTTGTTACTCTGCTATAATTATACCAAGAAGGCTATAGCATTGTAACATTTTGGTGCCTCCTGGTAGAAACCCAAACCAAAACCCCTATTTCTCTTTATCTAGGACAACCTTCTTCTTTCTAATCGCTTCTTTGAGGACACTAACCTTTTCTCTTATTATTCTTTAACAAATCTCCTAGCAGTATACTATAAAATCATAGAAGATTTTATCAAGGCTTTCTAGGAATTATCTCTCTTGAATTATTTCTCAAGTTACAACTACTCTTTGAAATTATTGCAGAATTGGCTATTTTATTTTATTTTAAAAAAGCAATTTGGAATTTTGAAATTATTAAAGGTATAAAATTATTTGAATTATTATAAGCCTGGAGAGTTTATACTTTTGCAGGTTAGTCACTAGCATAGTAAAATTTGGATTATTATTATTATTTGAATTGAATTGAATTAAATTTTTAATTATTATTTAACGTCACTACATGTTTCGATTAATCTTTTCTTTTACACGCATATTATTTTTTTACTCTACTCATTATTTAATCTTATTTGATTCTCTATTATTTTATTTTATATTATTTTTTTATTCTTTGCAAACTAATATTATTTTTGGAAGATAATTTTATTCTTATGACTGATTTGCTAACTAAACTAATATCGAAAAACATCAAGTTAAACATACTCGCTTTACAGCTGCTGCTATTAAAGTATATTAGGCTTTCTATCAAGATTTATCTTGTACACAGTGTTATCCCTCTTGATGGTTAACTACTCTTACTAACTTTAGTGAATTTTGGAACTAGTATTCTAGAGCTTATAATGCCACCTCTTATAGTTTAATTACTCAACAAAGCTTTGGTAAACTACATATAGTTAGACAAGATCTTACTCGCTCTGCTACATGTAATATTATTTTTAGTTGCAGATATCATTATCAAGTATCTGCTTCTCACCCTGTAATTGCACTATTATTTTAACACTTTACTTCCTATATAAATATCCTCCAAATTGAAGATTCAGCTCAAAATCAATATGATATTTATATTGATCATCTCCAATTTAGACCTCCACCTATCTAACATATCTAATACTCTAAAGAGTTAGGATTAACTTCTTAACAAATAGAACATAGTAACTACTCTATTCACGTTACCACCTATTCTTCTGACACTACTATAGTTTTTGAATCTGATATTGAGTTAGAATAACACCTTTTCCAACATTCTACAATATCTGAAAAAACAACTAATATTCAATTTCCTGTCTTAGCTACTAAGACCTCCTTTTCTTCAGATAGTACTGAATCTCTTACAACTGATTTTCATACCCCTACTCTTAGTCCTATAGTTTCTTTTGGTAATATATTTGACCAAGAGTCAGATACTAATAGTATTGACAAATTAGTACTCAATCAAACTGCTCTTGTTGAAATAGAAAACTTAGAACAAATTAACCCTTCTATTCCTAAAAACACTATCATCATGGAGCCAGAAAATCAAGCCAATAATAACAATAATCAAGGCGATTATACCCATATATATCCAATTATAGACGATACTCTTATTTATAATTATTAGAAAGTACAAGAAGTACCACTATTTGAAGACAACATTACTAATAATAATAACCAAGAAGAAGAACCAACTGAAGAAGAAAAAGCTAAGCCAGAAGAAGAAATTCAAGAACCAGAATTACTCAACAAAGCAGAGATAAATGAAGCTGCTAGATCTATGACTAGGCTTGCTGAAGCTTTAGAACGAGAAGGAAGAGGAGAAAAGAACCTTATCAAAATTGAATCTTTTACTAGTAATGAAATTCAAGATCCCTATGACTGGCTAAATGAATTTGAACAAGCTGCAAAAGCAAACCACTAGAGTAATGAACAACAACTAGAATTGGCCAAAGCCAATATGAAAAGAATTGCTGATGAATAGGTTTGAACATTTCAAGATGCACAATTGACCTATTACTATAATCGAGCTTATGTTCCTAATGGTTTTAAAACACAATTTATAGCTAAATTCTGTACTACTCACCAAAAAGCCAAATGGCAACAACAGTTCTTTGATCTCAAACAAGGAAATGATACTGTTGATACATATATCGCTAAATTTAAGAATCTCCAACACAAAGTTATAGCACTACCATCTGAATTTCTTTGCCAATATTTTATTCAAGAATTATAATCTGAATTCGTTATGCCTGTACAAGCCTCTGGTCTATGAGACCTTGATGAGATTATGAATTTAGCAAGAAACTGAGAAGCAGGAAACATATCACTATTCCAAACATAAGAACCAATGAAGCAATTGCTCGACTCACTGACCAAATTGCCCAACTTAGTATTAACCTAGCCCAACAACAACAACCAAAGCCAGTCTATGTTGCTAAAACTAAACAAGACTCTTCTAAAGCAAATAGCACTTGTTATTATTGTGGCAAGAAAGGACATTATGCTACTGATTGCTACTAAAGGAAAAATGAAAAAGATAGAAACAATAAAAAAGGAAAACCTAACAATTTTAACAATAATAATTGAAGAAATAACTACAGCAATAATAGAAGAAGCAATTATAATGATAATAGAAGAAATAACCATAATAATGGAAATGACAGAAACTGAAATAGAAGTCAATCACAAGATAGATACAGAAGTAGAAGCCAAGACAGAAACTACTCTCATAATAAAAGCAGATCTAGAGACAGAAGTCAAGAAAGATGGGGACCCAAATCTAACCATTCACCTTTACCTTATTACCAAAATGTAAACATGGCTAAAAAATCCAATCCAAATATCAAAACCACTAATAATTGGAAATGACTCCTAGACAATTACTCTATTTGCACTGCCCTTATAGCCTATATTACAGAAATAAATAGAAAAAACACCAAGCCTATTCTGGAAGATAACTCTAATATAACCCTTGTTAAATGTTTTGTAGATTTACGAGACCATACTTATCCAGCTATTATTGATAGCGAAGCCTTTGTCAGTATGATTGCTCACAAAGTAGTAAAAAAGCTACTGTTAAAGATTAATAAACTATTCAAAAGTTTAATCATTAATGCTATAGGAACCACTTTATAACCCCTTGGTGCTATTAGAGATTTATCTGTTAAGATTTAAGGAAGAACTATCCCAATTAATGCTGAAGTAGTTCCTGCCACCTCTTATTCACTTCTCTTAGAAAACAACTAGTCACAGAAAGTTGAGGCTAATTACAATTGGAAGACTCGTCAATATACTATGCACTAGGATGGAAAGAAACTTGCCCTTGATACCTTATATGAGCAAAAATAATCTAAAGAAAAACAGCCTACTTGTATTACTCCAGAAGACTTTAAACTATACAAACAGGAATATTTAATACCTCACAAGGCCTATGCCATTTCAGCAACAAATCAAGATGAAGAAGGATGAACTACTTATATATCTTACCATAAACATACTCCTACATATAAAGCTTGTAGTCTTCAAAGCTACTAATATAAAAATTGCCCTTAAAATAAATACCAATATTGCCACCAAAATGGCTATATTATTATCAACTACCCTAAAAAACAACTTAAAAGAGCCAACTACAAGACTTGCAACTAGACTGATTACCTATTCAAAGATTGCCTCCAAAACTTATATTTTAGTTATAACTAGATAGGATATATAGAAATTAACTACCCATTAGCTTAACAGAAATTAGACAACTTAACTCTTTATTGTGGTTGTGACAAAGCCCAAATAGAAGCCAGAAGACTTACCTACTATAGCAAATATAGAACTTACTATTGCTGTTAATGTTTGATCTCTCAAGCACCAGATAGATTATATCAACTAAATAACCAGCTTGTTTGTACTACTTGCTATTATGAAAGTCTAGAATTGGATGATCCTCGAAGCCAAGAATATCATCAAACAGAACTAGAAAGAGGAACCCTTGTCTACTGTAAAGTCTGTAACTACCAAAAACCTAGGGCCAGAATGCACAGAATAGAAAGTATTCAAGAAAAACTTTGGTTTTGTGAATTAGAACACATGTATACTTATAAAGTATGCCAAGATCTAATTTATCCCTTAAATTGTAACACAGGCAAATTTGCCTGTGTTTTTATTAAAAAGTTTAATTTTTTTAATAAAAACTTA